ATCATGAGCGGAGCGGAGAGGGGTCGTTTGAGTTGATTTCAATTAATGGAGGAAGTGTCCCCCCCGTCAATTGCCGTTGATGTAGAGTAGTTCAGTTGTGTTTTTTTTCCTTGTGTCACTGGACCCATGGGAATGCCCATGGCCGGCCCATGAAGTGCCCACCGTGGGCACTTCAACCTAGAACTTCGCCACCGGGATATCAACCTAGAACTTTGCCACCTTCATATCAACCTAGAACTTAGCCACGAGAGCCAACCTAGCACGCATCGTGTGGGCTTGGGGTTAGGGTTAGCGTTTGGGGTTGTTAGCCGTTCGCTATAGTGCCCGTTCCAAAACAGATCATCTATTGTCTAGGAGTACACCGGTTCGGTTGAAGGGCTCTCATTGGCCGCCCATGGACTTCCCATGGGTTACCCATGGGCCGCCCATGCCCACGGGCTACCCATGGGCATACTCGTGCCCATGGGCATGGGCGTGCCCATGGGCCTAACGGGGTGCCCATGGTCGGCCCATGGGTCACCCATGGGTCACCCATGGGAGAAACATGGGTCGTTTGGGAAAACTGTACAAAAAACCCGGCTAGTGTGCAGCACAAATCACAGCCTGTCGCCGAATGAGGCCGAGTATGCATATAAGACCGAGTAATACATGGGATAAAGTGTATAGTTATAGTCTATGGAGGCAAGACAATAATAGGGAGGTGGGGGAGAAAAATCCTGAGAAAAACAAGAAAAAATTATGAGGAGAAAAAAACGCCATCAGTTGAGATGTTCTGACGAAACAATACGGAATCAAAGGAAGAACCTCCCCTCCCTCAAAGAGACAAATCTCTATGCGGTGGGTTAACAGTTCAATACAGCAGCGACGTAATTTGGGATAGGATGATAACGAAAAACAACTTGGAAAAGTGAAAACCTCCCCTGCAACACTCTCTGCCGGGTTAGCAGCAAAAACACATATCACGGAGAAACCCACCGTTTGCAATAGATGTGGTGTAGTGTAAACAGTTTCTCACTAACAGGAACACATCGCAGAGAGTTTGAAACAAGTTGTTGCTGTTGTAGCGAGAAAACTGCTGCGTTGCAGTGAGAAAACTGCAGTGTTGAACTGCTGCTGTTGGAGGAGATGTAGTATATAGTACGGAAAAGCGCCAGATCATAGACGAGCCACACATACATGCCATGAACAGATGGCGGGGGGAGGTGCGGGCGACAGAGAACGGAACAAAAAAGAAAAACGAGAGAGGGTGGGCGGCCAGCTGTTCGCAGACCCCGACCGGTGGGGATCCAACATCGTGGTAGCTGCTTATGCTGTGCACGCGGAGTCGACGGTGTGTAGCGGACTGGCCAGGAGGGCACTACTCGACCATTTTGGTAGGAGGAGTGCCAAAAACTGATGTAGTTTTTTTCCACTCTAAACATAATTTCGGTATGATGTGTACATAGGCAACAATAGGACGGGAGGAAAGTGGTGGAGGGCGAGTACCATCCATATTATGTGGCGGAGGGTGCGGGGGCGTGGTTGGGGGGACGTTTGACCGGCTAAATATTCCACTCGTCAAGAGGAGGAAGGTCGGTATCGACACCCAAAATATAAGCCCTCAACCCCGTAACGTACGAGTCATGGGTTCGATTCACACCTGTGACTTTGTACACTTCCCACCAGACGTGTTCCATGAGTTCGTCTTGAGAACTGTAGTAGTCGCAATGTTTTCGACCCTGGATGTATGCAGTGTGCGTGAAATACCCAATGATGTGAGAAACATTGTCTTGCCTTCCAACGCGAACGAGTTTTCGCGGGGATTGATCGATCCAGCGTAATCGACGAGTCTGAAGAATATTCACCGTGTAGGCTGATGAGCTGTCCAAAAGCGGGCATCTAATCTGCGATATACGGCAAAAATGGCACACGGGAACAGCCTGCACAACCCTAGTGTGTGTCTCCTGCTTGCTGCTATTCGCACCGAGCGGTACGGCACGAAGGTGTTCAGCAAGGTGCTTTCTACTGCCTTACATATTTAAAGTACTGCTGGACTTTACTGTGCAGTAGCATATGTAGTAGCATGCAGTGATGTTCCACACGAAGAAGACTTGACTCGCCGCTGATTCGTTGCACACGAACGACTTCGTTGCGCCAACGCATGCGACGTTCATGTTTACGGTGGAGTCCATACCTTGCCGTCACGGCCGCAGCAGCAGCAGCCGCCTTGCACCATCTACTGTTGCAAAACTCTCAAATAGTGATGAACACTGCCACACCTCGTGATCTCGCAACTATAGCCTCAACATCCCAACTGTGCACGTAAGGTGAAGAGGGGAAGATTGTACAAAGTGTCGGACCTGTCTGTACCGTCTTTCCTCTAGTCGAGCTAGGTAGGTATGGTCGATTTGAAATGTTGATCTACATGTAGTTTCGTTACCGTGGGGTACAACAACCCCCGGTGCTCTCGGCGCTCACCATCACTCCGGCAACGCTGTAGCTGACGTAGAACAGACCGGTCTCCGTGAAGGAAGGGGAGAACGCGAACCCCAGCAAACCCTGGGATGTACCATGCGAACAAAAAAGAAGACACGGGGGGGAACAAGCGAAAGAACGGGCAACAGCAATCAATGGTTGTTTTGATCAATGGTTTTGACGGTGAACTTCGGCGCAGGACCCGAGCAGAAAAGGGACGTGGAACAGAAAAAGGGGGGTTGTGGTCAGTGTTGTCGGTGTTCTTCTATAATAGGAAGGTGAACAGAAAGGTCGTGGTCAACGTTGTTTTTCTTAGTGTTGTTTCATTCCAATGCTCCTCCTTCCGTAGCTCTCACCTGCTCGTAAGAGAAGTCAGCCCTGTCCGAGATGTCCAGAACGTCGATGGCATCGGTCGGGTCTTGAGAGGCCGCCTTGAAAAGAAGAAGGATTGTGGTTGGTTACGTATATATTTACGGTTCTGTTGTTGCTGCTTGATATTGCTGTTGCCGTCGTGGTCTTCACGTAGAGAACCTTTCGACCGCTATCCAGAACCTCGTTACCCGCGCTCTTCAATTTTTGGATTTCTGCAATCCTAAGAAACGACGTTTCGCGGTCACAAGCCAGCCCAACAGGTGGTCTACTGTTGTTGCGATCACAAACCAGACAACATTCTGACACTTCTCGCTCACTCCGTTTTTTCGTGATAACATGGATTGCGCCAATGATTTTTTATAGGTCGACAACAACAAGTTGGAAGCCTCTTCCTGCCGTCCGGAGGACGAGACTTTCTTTCAGGCGGGGGGGGCGGAAACCGCAGGTATTTTAAAATAACGTCAAACGGAAAAGACGTATCACCACTGCTGTGGAACACTTGGAACCAACCCAACGCCTCTCTTTGTACCATTTTGATGTAGCCTGTCATCCCGCCGATCCACCAGGCGCTACCGTCAGGTGTCATTTGCATGGCGATAGGCTCGGGCGGAAGGTCTTCCTCGGGGAGGTCGGGGAACGCCGCGGTCACACTGGCCTCGTTGAAACCGGCTGCAGAAGGCAGTGCAGACGAGCGAGCGTAAGTCGTGTAAGGATGAGGGTATGACTTGTGCTACGGTAGGGGGGTGGTAGTCCTGTTTCGATGGCGAAGTAGGACGCTGCCGACAGGTGTTTACGTAGAGTTTGTCTCCCTACCCGGGAGTGTACGATGAGGTGACCCCCCTACGACATAATCACTGATATGCAACAATCAGAGAGGGTGCTGTGGGTAAGTTGGAGACTGACGTTCACTATATAGTCAATATAGTTTTGTTTTTCATCACACCACCCGGCAACGTCGAGCGGGACGTCATTTTGATCTAGGCCGTAGCAAAACAAATTGAAACGCGATCAGCTCATAAATACGTACCGGTGATGTCTAGCGGATAAGACCAGTACTCCCGAGCAGCGTTCTCGTCGGAGTAGTCCAGCACGTGCTCGTCGCAGTAGGTCGCGTCGAGGGCAAGGTCCGTCCCGCACGCCATGACGAAACCGTCGCAAAAGTCCCTCGTCATCGCCAGTCCATCGTCACCCATCTCCGCCAGGCGCGTGTAGAGGTGTGCGCTGTACGGGCTGCAGACTCCGCAAAGGACCTGTAGTTCCGTCCAACAAGGCGAGGGGGGCGTGGTTTGTGCGTGGGATGACGGAAGAAACCAGACGAAAGGGATGGACGGCAGCACCAACGAGAGGCCGAGAGTCGTCGTCACACTCTTGGCGAGGCTGATATCGAAGTACATTGATCGGCCCGTTACAGCACGCGCACGTTCGTGCAGCTCGATTCTCGCGCAGATTGCACTCGCTCGCTGAACGGGCTCCTGCTGACTCAAACCCACCTTCTTTTGTTATAGAAGTTCATGTACTGCTGCTGTAGAGCGCGGACAATCGCACGGGGTCCTGGTCTCTTTTTGTACGGTTTCGATATGGTTTTTGTCTTTTCACGGTGGCCGGCAGTTCGCAACAACTTAGTTAACGATCAACGTCCCGCTCTTCGACACGCACTCACCCCTCTTTGCAGCGGACCCTGCGCTCAATAGCAAGTGCTGGCGCGAACCACTAGGACTACTGGTTATTTCGAAACTACTGCTGTAGTCTAGACTTGTGACTCGGAAGTAATTTTCCCGCAGCCGGCTGTGCGTCCGACTAGAACCGCGCACGGATGAATTGCAGTACCAGCGGATCGCAGCAGCAGTGCAACGGCAGAGCGGGGAACAGCCGCACCCGCACAGCTTAGAAGCATACACATTCTCTATCACGATCTGCGTTAGAAGCCATTATGACAGAGAGAGGATCACGCTCACTCACCTCCTTGTAGAGAGGCGCGCACTCCGCGCTGAGGGCGCCCTCGATGGCTGCGTACTTTTCCGACAGCACCGCTTCCTCGTTGGGCTCGCAGCAGAAGCCCTCGGCTAGGACGTCGGGGCAAAACGTGGCTTCGGCCGTGGTAGAGACCGCTCGATCTGGGCCGTACAGGCATAACGGGTGCGCCTCTCCAGGAGATGGCAGGGAGAGGATGAGAGCCGCTGACGACGCTGCAACGGATGCGATCTTTGTCACAGGACTTCGGGCCATGTTGTACAGACTGGTAACTTGCAGTTGCAGTTGCTCCTGCCGCAAGCCTGCCGTGGGACTGGAATACGTTGCTGGGTGTGTAGGTTAGTACTTGTGCTTGGATGTACAGCTGTTGGTTGGGGTCGGAGTTGTGAGTGACGGGGTGTGGGATGGCATCCGCGCCCAGGTGCAGAACTAAAAGCAATTTGTTCTGGGAACAAATTGTGAGTTCGGGTGCGACCCCCGAAAAGCGGCGGACCATATCGTGGTCTGCAACTTTTTCACCGTTGGTAATTTTTGTTGCGCCGCACGTAGCAGCGGCAGCAGTAGACACAGACACCACAAGAGACCATGCCTCATTGCGTGCTTATGTGAGTCCATTTCTCCTCTGTCGTCGCTTGAGAGGAGCGCGGGCAGGGACATCCCAAAGAGGTTAGCGCCACGTTCTAAACTGCAGTACCAGTAGTTACCTGTATGCGTGTGCCTGTATTTTCGTGTGCGGCTTCTTCGTGCGGCCTCTTCAAGCTGGGTTCTTCAACACCAACATACGCATGCAACATCACCCACACCGATGCTTTCACCGCTAACCACCACCACCACCACAACAACAACAACATACAATCGATCCTATCGCCTATGTACCTCTAGGCCTCTTGACATAATAAATGAGTAGACTAAATACACACCACTGCCTACTGCCTACCTGCCGCATGGTCTCCATCTGGTCGGAACATCTGGTCGGAACAAAAGCTCACTGTACTGTAACTGTCGTCCACCCGCATACCGGTGGATGTAGCGAAGGCAACGCAATCAATACAAACCAGCCGCGACAATCGGCATACACCTGTCTTTCGCTCACCTATTTCTTCCAAAGGTGTCCAATCGTCACTCTGCCCTGTCTCTGGTGGCATGTACCCTGGGGGAAAAGCTCCCACTGCTGTTGGTGAAGTAAAAATTGTCCAACACGTACGTACGCATAGAATGGTCTGTCGTATGTACATACATGGTCTACGACTGTACCACACACCGATTTTCAAAGCCCGCCTACAATACTCCACGACTAAGAGGATGCCGCAATCGATCTATCCGTCTCGAAAGCTCTCGACAACACGATTCCAACGCGGCTTATGCTGCAGAGTGGCCGAACTTTGTGGGGAGTGTGTTATCTTCTGAAACCTATGTACCTCCTTTTACGGCAATGCGTGCTGCTGCAGCAAACGTACGGCGTACATACGCATATGACCAATCATATTGGTCCCATGTTCAGCTCTGATCTGAGAGTTGGCGTTGATGGCCGTGTCCTAAGACACCGAAGAGGCAGCGTCGTTTTTTAAGCCAGCGGAATGTCCTCCAGTCCATGGTGACTTCGACGACGTCAACTAAGCAACATGATTCCGCCAACGATTCCTTTCAAGGCTGTGAAGACAAGGTTTAGGCGTGGATCATCAAAAACTATCATCGAGCTCTCCTGCTTTCTTCCACGGAAATATTGGTTTTCGTCTTGGTATTGCGTGGAACAAAACTAGGCGCACGCAACCCTGATTCGTATGCTTCACGAAACGCGGGCCCGGGTAGACGCGAAGGAATTATTATTGACACCCAGAACGGGTCTACATGTAGTGTAGATTGTCTTTATTAAGTTGGTTGTCGCCACCCCACCCGCCACAGAAGCAGCGTTTTTCTATTGCCATCTGAGGTACGATCCTACTGATCTTGCCTCGCATCGAGCAACCACTCTGACCTCTCCCCGCCGCACACCCATACTGAAAACATATGAGAAGACAATAAAAAGAGTTTACGTCCGGCATGGTGTCACCAAGGCCGACCCCAACCAATCGCGAATGACAAGACATGGGCTTGCAGCATCGACATTCTCCCGACCTTAATCCCACACGGGGGGGAGAAGAAACCAGCTCCACAAGCAACAGCAGGAGAAAACATGAAACAATGTTGGCACGACGAACTGAAATAAGTAGGTTGGTATGGCAACAAACACAGGCGTCGAGGACACACACACCCCAAGACGAATCGTAAATACACCCCCCCTCCCATCTCAGAAAGCACGGCACTGTGTACGAGTCGTCTCAGCAGGTCGTGTTTCACCCTGTCTTGAGAACCAACGCTGGGCTCACCAGGCTAACGAAAACGGAAATCTCTCGAACAAAAACGATACCACTATTTTGCCGATGTTTACTACTGTTTTCGCTCTACGTTTAGTTTCTCTCTCCCTTCCATCCCCACGAACGCGCTCACCCGTGTGTAGCGCGGACCCTAACATAGTCTCGGATTGCGGGAGGGGGGGTTCCCCTTACAAGCGCGACCCCAAAATCCTTGACCGTCTGCTGAACGCAACCAATATTTCTTGTCCGGGGTAATTCGCTAGGCTTTTCCCCCGTAGGCGATCGCCGAAAGCGCTGAGCGGAGACGCACCCAATGACACCCAACCTCAAGACAAAAATAACGCAGAAGATGAAACGGACAACACATATTTCGTTCTACTGCACGAACCCACCTTCATAATCACGCCGCATGGCCTTCGGGAAAACGGGAAAAACAATAACAGCTCTTCGACGCGACATAACAGGTAACTACATGGCAGCCGGCGTATTTACAGTCAGCAGGGAGGGGGTGGGGGTGGGGGGGCGGGTCAGAGCAAAAACCCCGACGAAAACAAACAAAACAGAAGACAGGCACCCGGGCACCGGCCGTCCACAACAAGTTCTGAGAGAACGGCCAGGGTGATATGGGACAATCTCCAACACCCATCACAGAGGAGAAAAAGTACTAGCGATCATTTTAAGAGCTCCAGCGCACGACCAGGATAAGCCGGGAGTCTCCAACACCAATACCAGAGGAAAAATCACGGGGCGATCATTCGCAAGACCTCGAGAACCGCCAGGACAAAAAGGCGGGGGTTCTCCAACACCCGGGCATGGGCTGTCCACCAAAACGTTGTCAAGAGCTCTCTGAACGGCCAAGGGGTTTCTCCCTCCATTCGCGCTGTGAACACACGCCCTTCGACCTCGTGCAGCCTTGACACGATGTTCTACTATTCGTACGTAATGTTTTACAAAAGAAACAAAGGAGTGCATTCGTCGCGTAACCCAAAACACAGACGGCGGGCTGCGCGTCTTCGCTTCTGACACACACTCAATGAAGTCCCTCTTCCAAGCCGAAAACGGCCCATACAGAAGCGCTTCACTACAGCAGTGCCCCCACGACCGCCCGAGACACGAGCATACCACACAAGACCAACAGCGGTGCAGGCAAAATAGGCGTCACCCAACACGCGTGGGCGCCAGGTCGCCGGGTGGCGGAGGAGTGAGCCAGCCGTGAGCGCTCTCGAGCCTCCACGGTAAGTTCCGCCGGATCTCGCCCGGTTAGGCTCGGTGGCGCCGGCGGCGCGCCCAGCACGCTCAGGAGGTCGACCACCTGAGGTGGTGGTGGTGGCGGCGGTGGCGGTGGTTGGTTGTGTGTTCTTGAAAAACAGATGAACAAGACATTCGGCGTTCGTTCATGGTGGTGATGGTGATGGTCGTGGTCTTGGGTTGTGTGTGGTTGAAACACACGAGGAAAAAAAAAAGTTGGTGTTCGTGGTGGTGGTGGTAGGTGGTGCGTGCTCGATAAACAGTGGAAACAAAATTGTCTCTAGGTCGTGTATAGTGTCAGGCATCATCTGGACCGGTGGAACCAATGGGCGAAAAATCCAAACGTAAAACCCGTTTCGAGTCGGCTGCCAACCAGCGCGAAATATTCTCGACACGAAAACAGCAGCATCATCCGCACGGTTATCGTAGGGCATCTCACTGCTGCACCTCACTCGACTGCTGCGCGCGCTAACTCGTCCAAACGACCCTCGCGGGGTCTTCTCGTCAACTTTTCGGGTTCTAAAACGCAACTAACTACCGTCCGGGGTAGACAATTTGTTATTTTAACAAGGTCCTCTCCGCGAGCCCCCGGCTTTCTGACAGACAATACGCAGTCCGCCATATTTCCACGTCTTTTTTTACCCGTTATAGGTTCCTCCCTATTTCGAGGAGTACCACCGCCCCCCCGCCCCCCCCCCCCCACCCGGTGATACTGAGTCGTTGGAGTTTGTCTGGGCCGGCCGTTCAATGACAACCGCAGCACCATGCTGTGTGGGGTCAGCATGTCTCCGTGGAACAACCATCTTTAGCTCGAATAGTACGCCAGAGGACACACTGGTGAGAAAATACCGCCAGTAGGGTGGCACTCTAAAGCTAACACGGTCGGTCGGGGGGCACAATCACGTGCCTATCTATCCTTGAAGGGGGTGACGTGCATGAATACTGACATACTGATATACTGGTACAGTGGGGGTCCCCGAATAAGGCGGTGGCGGGGCAGCCGATAATGACCGCCTTCGTGTGGTGCGGCCGCCTTATTCAACGTGTAGAACACCTTGATTTTTAATCTTATGCCAGCCAATTTCACCCTCCTCATGCAGGGCGACCGCCTTATTCAGACCGCCATATGTGGGGACCCCCACTGCTGCAGCCTCTACACACGCACCTCTATCGGCACGATCTTGTGGAAATGTCTCCCATCGCTCGGGTTCGACGCCCACCCCTGCCCCTCCACTATCCTAGCCGCGTCCACGAGGGGCACCCCCAGACGGGACATCACCGGCCGGGCTCTCCTGAATTTCCGGCGCAAAATATGAAGTATGTGGTGAGGGGGGTGGGCGTCAAGCAGTAAGGTGGGTGGCTAGCTCGAAGACAGGGGAGCTTTCACGGGGGATTGAAAGGAGGGTGTGCTATTGAATATAGATGGAGGGCTCCGAAGATAGGAAAAATCTCGAAGCGGTTACCGTCCGTAAGGACGCGGGTCTCGGGACAGGTTGGAGTCTCCGCACGGGCCGGGCTCTTGGCACAGCATGCAACAATAAAACGATTAAGGTCGATGACAGAACGCGCCACGACTTTAAGAACTTGAGAGCCTCCTAAAACCCAAAATCTAAGAACTCGGCCACAAAGAACAGAATCTCAGCCAAGAATCCTACAACAAAAACATATTTTGTCGTCATGGGGTCCCTTACAACCTCGACCAAACTCCACGAGGTTCCAAAGTGGTGGCGGGTTCTGTATGACACAGCTATCGTCCACCTGGCACGGGGGTGAGAAGACTCCGATACCTTCGGTGAGGTTGGGCTCCACGGCCGTACCTTGACGGTGCCCGTGAGCAAGCGATCGTCGTGACATACCTCTTCATTTATAGAACATCATGCTCAATTGTTGTTGGTATCAGAGTCCGCAAAAAAGGTATATATCTACTCAACAAAGAAATCGGGAGAGACCCCATTGACACAATCCACCCGTGATAGGAACCTGAGCGGTCGCAAAGGAGGGTTCGAGCGCTATTAAGCTGTAAGTCGGCTGAACGAAGAGCTTCACAAAACATCTACAAAATCCACCGATTTTTCCGTCCCATCTTCCCGACCAAAGCTCAGCCAAAAACATTTTTTCTGCTCCCGCCTCAAGCGAACCTGCTCAGCTGCAGGGAGCCCCGTCGATCCAAGATGGCCTCCTCGCAGTAGGTGTCCACGGTAAACAGCCCCTGTCCCTCGGGGTAGACCATGTACTCGGCGATGTCGGGTGCTCCGTGCCAATCGGAGTAGCTGAAGTCCCCGTGGGCATCTTTGACTGAGGCGGCCTGCTTCACCTGGGTGTTGTTCTGCGCAGGGGAGGCATCAAGCGAGCGAATGCCCAACCAGGAGAAGACCGACGATTTGTTTTTTCTTTAATTGTGCCGAAACACCATGCTCCTTGTGCTGGGGGTTGCTCTGTGGAAGCTGTTTTGCTGTGATGGTGGTGGTGGTAGTCTAGCTGCTGCCGTGTGGCCATCGTTGCTCTCGGGTCGTGTTGTTGGTGTTGGCGTGCGAGATGTCGGCCGCTGGTGTTGCCTGTGCTTGCATCTCGTAGGATTGACTAGGGTATATACGAGAACTCGTCCTGTGGGTTTGTGCTGCCAACGCTTCGAGTCTCGCAGCCCATTCCTATGTACGTCATCCGTGAACACCACCCAACAACGCATGACTTTACCGTTGTAGGTGACGTCAGAAAAAAATACCGCTCAGCGTTAGACACCCTATCGATTGCTTTGCTTTCGGTTCATCCACGCTGTTAGATAAAGAATTCAGCGCTGGCTGAGTAGTTAATGGATTAGCCTTTCATCGAACAACACACAAGTTGCCACGCATGTCGCACCTACAGCAGTAGTGGTCCCTATATAGTGCGGTCGAATAGTGCCGGGTGCCGGTATAGAGCCGGTGCTTTCGGTTCGCACACACTGAAATGCCAAGTTCTTCTGTACTCTGAATAGTGCCAGAGTCCAGTATAGCGCCGGTAAAATCTCTAGACACATACCGACACTGGCCCGGTACCGTACCTGGTCTTGGCACTCTGCCCGGATGGTAGTGTTTCCCGGCCCCTCTCGGTAGGCGGCGCGAATGTCTTTGTATTCTCCTTGGAACCGCTCGTCGGCGATGGCGTGATTCGTCATGAAAACCACCCTGCGATTGAGAGGGACAGGCCAGGCCGAAACGGAAAGGGTGGAGCCATCGCACCGAGAAAAAAAACGGCACGAAATTCTTAATTGTATTCGAGTAAAAAAAAAAAAAAGAAAAAAAAATGGGGAAGAAGCCTTGGCACACTGCAATCTATTGAATACGTGATGTACTCGAGTTAAAAAAAAAGCATTGGGGAAGAAGCCGTGGCACTCTGCAACCTATCGAAATGGACAAGCCCAGGACAGATGGATGCGGGTTTGTACGGGACCAACAAAGGCAAACCGAACGGGAGCCGGACGCTGTGCTTTTGTCCCGTCTGTTCTGGCGCCAATCTACCAACCTCTCGGTGCCCATGTCGGGCGTGCCAACCGGGGCCACGCTGAAACGGTAGGGACTTCATTGTTGTAGACTAAATGTGCGACAAACACGGCAATGCACCGTTTGTTCTCCTAACCATTCTTCTGAAGTCTTCACGGTACCAGTTCAGAGTTGTTGCTATCACGACCAACATACCGCGCCACATCTTCGAGAGGGGGCTGCCACCGTCATGGGTGATAGGTACCGTTTGCAACTACAAGTCTCCGACACGAGAAGGTCAAGGAGTGAATGCATGAGCTTGATCGCAGACTGCTTCGTTCTTGCCTTAGCCTTAACTTTGCGGCAGGCACGTCCAAGGACAGCTCTCGACTACTACTAATTCCTCCTAACGACCTCACGCTTTTTGGCATATTGAATGGCACCTACCCACACTTTTGGTTGTGGAACAATGGAGGAGCAACAGGAGTCGATGCTACACCTTTCTGTGCGTGCGATCGCCCGCATTCTCATAGTACGTCGTATGCATGCAAAATGCAGCCTATTCTGTCGAGATAAGGCTACCGTAGGTTGCATAAGATACCACACCCCCGGAACGATTATCAAAGCTTGATCACTCCACGGTGAAGAGGATGATGATTACAAAGGATACGTTGTCGGAAAAGCTCTCGACAAGACGGTTCCAACGACGCCATTTTCGCCTCCGTCACTGCTTTTCCAGCCGAGTATTCGAGCTTTGGAAATCGGGCCAGGGGGTGTGATATCTTACGCAACCTACGGCAGTCTTCTAGGAGGTTGATTGACTCACCTCACATTCGGTCCGCTTTTGTACCGGACAGCTTGGACTACTCCCTCGAGGAGACTTTCGTAGTTCAACCACCTGCGGGCAAACAGAAACACGGAGCAACAAATGCACGGTCATGGAGGCCAGGGGGGAGGGGGTACACGAAGTATTCAAATTCAACAGTTTCTTTCACCAGGCATCCCGTACAAAACAATATCGCACCGTAGTGCAATGGAGTATCTCCAAGCCAGGAGCAGCGGACCTACTCCTTTGCCTTTCTTTATTTTCTTTATTTTCTTTTTTATTTGTTTTCAATAACAGCGGTATCCCCCTCTTCAAGTAGAATCACTGCCACAGTTGTGTTTTTTTTTACGGTTCCGCCGAACGGAAACGCATTGCGCACGTGTGTGGCTGATGCCAACACACCTCCTCTAGCGAAACGAGTCAGCCATCATCCCGCACAGACATCCCCGTACTGACATCTGCATAAATCAGCCCCAGCCGAACGATTACCGTCAGTCGTACTCAAGCGTCTTCCCACCCCCGCGACCCTCCCTTCTCTTCTAAAGGTCGATCCGGGACTGACATGGGATAGATAGATTTATGCACCCCGATGTGCATGCGTTCACAGCGCCTTACGTCTTTCATCTCGCCAATAACGCCTCATTCAATAATCAACATTTCAAGAGGCTTCGTGCAAAAACACAAAACAACGGAGGGGTGGGGGGGGTGGGGGGGGGGGGGGGGG